ACATTGAGAAAGTGTAACTATTTAATTTTTTATGCTATTCAGCAACATCAGTGTTAATAAAAGTTATTCAGCAGCAATGTTTTGTATAAACAGGAAATAACACGGCATTTTCATATGAAAAATATTAGTTAACGAAAGACAAAATAATGATGTGGTGCAATGGATGAAATAGAGAATTAACAAACCGAGCATCGCCGGTTCGATTCCTGGTCGATTTAATTTTTTTTGTCATAAATAATAAACATTTTTAAAAAATCCAATTAAATGTGTAACTTTTTCTAAAAACATTTGATTTCTGATTAGATTTAGCCACGTATGACCGTCTGTCGATTCATAATTCTTTTCACGATCAAATTAATAATCTTTGGCCAAAATTTTGATTATATTCTTATGTAGCTTGGCATTGAATATTGAAAAATTCGGCTCAACAATAAAAATTTAAAAATAACATTTTTTGACAACATTGAAACAAAATCTTGTTTTTTTAAATTTTTTTTCATAGGATCAACAATATTGAAAATCTATCGTTTTAAAATTAATCATATTGCCATACATTTTTCCCACACATTGAAATTATTTTAAATACATAACATACGTTAACATTTGTTACATTTAGTACGCTCTTTAACAGTCTGTGAGGTGATAGTTTTGTTATACCCACCATCAAAAAAGATGGGGGGTATATTGTTTTTGTCATTCCGTTTGTAACACATTGAAATATTCGTCTAAGACCCATAAAAGTATATATATTCTGGGTCCTTATTAGATTCTAAAACGATCTAGCCATGTCCGTCCGTCTGTCTGTCTGGAAAGTAAAGTAGCTAGCGAGCTGAAAATTTGCATAGATACTTCTAGTTGATGCAGTTTGTTTGGTATTGAAAATGGGCAATATCGGTCCACGATTTCGCCTAGCCCCCATATAAGGCCTCCTCCAGGTAATGACTTTATCGCTCATAACTTGCTAAGAGAAGCATCAATAGCGGTGAAATTCGGCACAAACATGTTTTATGGAAACATAAATCTCTTCGTAGAATTTTATAAGGATCGGTCCATAATTGACCCTACCCTCCATATAAAGCCCCCTTCAGAAAATGACTTTATCGCCCATAACTGGCTAAGAGAAGCATAAATTGCGGTGAAATTCAGCACAAACATGTTCTATGGGAACAGAAATCTTTTTGTAAAATTTTATAAGGATAGGCCTATAATTGACCCTACCCCCCATATAAAGTCCCTTCAGAAAACTACTTTATCGCTCATAACTGGCTAAGAGAAGCATCAATAGCGGTGAAATTCGGCACAAACATGTTTTATGGGAACATTAATCTCTTTGTAAAATTTTATAAGGATAGGCCTATTATTGACCCTACCCCCCATATAAAGTCCCCTTCAGAAAATGACTTTATCGCTCATAACTGGCTAAGAGAAGCATCAATAGCGGTGAAATTCGGCACAAACATGTTTTATGGGAACATTAATCTCTTCGTAGAATTTTATAAGGATCGGTCCATAATTGACCCTACCCTCCATATAAAGCCCCCTTCAGAAAATGACTTTATCGCCCATAACTGGCTAAGAGAAGCATAAATTGCGGTGAAATTCAGCACAAACATGTTCTATGGGAACATAAATCTCTTTGTAAAATTTTATAAGGATAGGCCTATAATTGACCCTACCCCCATATAAAGTCCCTTCAGAAAACTACTTTATCGCTCAGAGAAGCATCAATAGCGGTGAAATTCGGCACAAACATGTTTTATGGGAACATTAATCTCTTTGTAAAATTTTATAAGGATAAGCCTATTATTGACCCTACCCCCCATATAAGTCCCCTTCAGAAAATGACTTTATCGCTCATAACTGGCTAAGAGAAGCATAATAGCGGTGAAACTTCGGCACAAACATGTTTTTATGGGAACATTAATCTCTTTGTAAAATTTTATAAGGAGAGGTCCATAATTGACCCTACCCCCCATATAAAGTCCCCTTCAGAAATTACTTTATCGCTCATAACTGGCTAAAGATGCAATCAATAGCGGTGAAATTCGGCACAACATGTTTCGGCACAAACAGTTATGGACATTAAATCTCTTTGTAAAAATTTTATAAGGATAAGCCTATAATTGACCCTACCCCCCATATAAAGTCCCCTTCAGAAAATGACTTTATCGCTCACAACTGGCTAAGAGATGCATCAATAGCGGTGAAATTCGGCACAAACATGTTTAATGAGAACTTCAATTTCTTTGTAAAATTTTATAAGAATAGGTCCATAATTGACCCTACCGCCCATATGAAGTCCTCGTCAGAAATTGACTTTATTGCCCATAACTGGCTAAGAGAAGCATCAATAGTGGTGCAATTCGGCAGAAACTTGTTTATAAGAACCTAAATCACTTCATAAAATGTTATAAGGACCGGTTCATAATTGACCCTACCCCCCATATAAGACCTCCCTTTAATGCTCTTATCTGACGTTAAGAAACATATATACATACATATATATAGCAATAAAATTCGACATAAAAAAGTTTTATAGGAACTAAAATCATTTTCTTAAATTTTATGAGGGTGGGTCCATAAGTTTATTACTGACGCGAAAATGTGAGTACAGCAGTAAAATTCTACATAAACAAGTTTTGTGCGAGCCAAAAATTCTTTATCAAATTATATATATAAGGATCGGTCCTTAATTAACCCTATCCCCCTTGTAAGGTCCCCTTCAGAAAATGACTTTAAAGATCATTACTAGCTTAAAACTGCAAGTGCAGCGATGAAATGCTTAAGCCCTTAATAATGGCCCTCTTCCAAATATTTCCCTGATGTTTATGTTAATATAGACATATGATTCAACATAGATCGATAATATCAAAGTTTATTTATAAGGATGATTTGATGGTGGGAATATAAGATTCGGCATGACCGAATATAACACTCTTACTTGTTTTTAATTGCATATGTAAGGCGTAATGTAAAATGTTAAGGTAAATTTGAATCAATCCATAAAATTTGATAAATTACGCAACCAGTTTAAGGTGGAGGGTATTTAAGATTCGGCAAAGCCGAATATAGCACTCTTACTTGTTATTATATGATGCGGTTATATATAAAGTGAATAAAGAAGAACAATAATTTTTTTTAATAAATACCTAATTCTCGTTTGATTTATTTGTAATTTATCCGCTATCACCAAATACCAGCCTTTTTAATAAAAAGCATTTTTACAAACTAAATATCCGCTTTTACGGAAAAGAATAAAATTTTTTGAGGAAAATTTTTATTCTCGTTTTATAACTCAGCTTTTAATAGCTTATACCGCTACTACAAGAAAATTAAATTTCAATTACTTTAAAGCAAAAATAAGCTTAAATTTATATTAAACTCATTTCAATATGAGTTCTACATCAAATACAAAGTCTACTTCAGCTCCAAAAGAGCGCTTTGTATTCGACTGCGACCATCTTCTCCAATTTTGTGAAAGATTTAATAGAACGCCTATTGAAGAACAATCTGAATCTGTTCTTGAAGTAAAATTAAAAGATTTGGACGCAAGATGGGTTAAAGTCGAAGGAGTCATGTTAGATTCTGATAACTCTATAAAACCCGAATTCAAAGAAGAAGCAAAAACTAGCTTTAATGCGTGTGTAGACGCATATTATTTATGCATCTCTCAGATTCTAGATTTGATTAAAGCTACTAGACTAGATAGTTCGAATGTAGCAGGGTTTGAGGCAGCTGACCGATACTCAATCCCAAACCAACCTCTCACTCAAAACTTTGCGCCAGATAACTCTAGTAACTGTATAAAACTTCCCCCTTGCGATACCGAAATATTTAAAGGCAGTAACGAACAATGGCCATCTTTTCGTGACATAAATCACTCCAAACTCTCTCCTGTCACAAAATTATACCACCTTCGAAATAAAACACGAGGTGAAGCTGGTGACATTGTAAAGAGATATCCCTTATCTCATGAAAATTTTGAATTAGCGTGGAATGTTTTGAAAACCCGCTATGAAAACAAACGTGTTCTAGTTGATATCCAAATAAAACTACTTTTTAATATTCCGCCAGCAACCGCTGAAAACGGCGAATCAATTAGAAGAATACAATCTTCAGTTAATGATTCGCTAGCGACTCTAAGAACTCTCGGGGTAAAAGTTGAAAGCTGGGACCCCATTTTAATTCGCCTAATTTCAACAAAATTGCCAGATTTTACTCTTTCGCTTTGGGAACAGTCTTTAACTTCACCTCGAGAACTTCCAAAGTGGTCTCAAATGTCACAATTCCCTGTTGACGGATATGAAGCAGTAGAACGCATTAATAGCATAAAAACTTCAAAAAGTTGTTTTACTTTAACAAATGCACCTGAAACCAAAATACAAACTTATACATCTCAAGAAAATCTCTATGAACCCGAATGTAAATTCTGTATTGAAATTCACTCGCTAAGAACATGTCCTAAATTCAGAACCTTTACGGTACAACAAAGAGTGGATTACGTTTTTAAAAATGAAATATGTAATAATTGTTTGAGTTCATCTCATTTTAAAATAAATTGCAAAAGTAAAAAAACTTGTCTCCATTGTAAAAAAATAATCATACTTTGTTTCATATGAGACCAAAGTTACAAAATCCCGCTCAAATCCCAGAACACTCGCAAAAAATCAAGAGCCAAAAGAAAATAAAAATATAACTCATAAAACTTTGCTCAAATCAAATTCAAGCTAATTGTTCAATGAATAATGAAAATATTCTGTTGCGTACTGCATTAGTACAAATTGATCATTAAGGTCAACTTTTTATTGTTAGGGCTCTAATAGACCCTGGTTCTCAACGAACATTTTTAACCGAAAAAGTGCGTAATCGTCTTCAATTACCTTATCAAAATTCTCATTTTGAAATTATTGGTATTGGCGGCCAAAAAACAAATAGCTAACACATAATGTGAATTCGTATTATATGCAAAAAGATACAATTTAAGAATTCCAGTTAAAGCTATGGTAATGCCCAAAGTCACTAAATGGCTTCTAACATATTCTTTTGAAATACCTGACTCGCCTGAGCTTTCTGAATTGGATATAGCAGATCCAACTTTCAATAAATCTGCAGAAATTGATCTCATTATAGGAAATTATTATGAACAATTTCTTAATCTAGATGGTATTAAAAGGAATGTATGTGGTCAAACTTCAGCTTATCACACTGTTTTTGGTTGGGTTCTTAGTGATCCCATTAAAACCCAAACTATTCAAACTTTTACCACTTCGGTCACACAATGTGAAACTTCAGATTTAAATAATAAAAAAAGGTTTTGGGAACAGGAAGAAATTCCTACTTCTCATCCAATCACCGTTGAACATAAAATTTGCGAAATGTTTTATACTCAAACTACAACTCGTCATGAGAATGGTAGATACGTCGTTCGACTACCATTCAGATCAGAATTTCCCGACAAAGTTTCCCTTGGCTCATCCCGATATATTGCATTAGATCAATACTCCAGAATGGAAAAAACACTCGCAAAAGATCCAGAACTTCAAGCTCAATATAAAGCAGTTTTGAACGATTATATAACTCTAGATCACATGGAAGAAAACTGTTCCAGTGAAATTGTATCTCTACACTCTACAAAATGATTTAATTACGATTATTCTCAATTGTAGAAAATACCAATATGTATTTAGTGGCAACATACAAAAAATGTATCGCCAAATACTTGTGCACCCTGCTGATAGATCTTTTCAAAGAATTTTATTTCAAACTGAAGCAGATGAACCAGTTCAAGATTATCAGCTCAAAACCGTCATTTTTGGCATAAATTGTGCTCCCTATCTGGCGATTCGGACACTTCTTCAACTCGCAACAGATTCCGAATCTGCATACCCAAAGCAGCATCAATTCTGCGCTCAGAAACTTATGCCGATGATATTCTCTCAGGAGGTTATTCAATTGAAGAAACTCTTTCTGCTCAAACTCAATTTATTGAAACATTAAACTCAGCAGGTTTCCCATTAAAGAAAATTACTGCTAATAACCCGCAATTACTTGCTCATTTGCCCAAAGAAGATCTTTATGATTTAGACTTCTTACGTTTTCACGAAGCAAGTTCTACTAAAACACTTGGCATCAAGTGGAATGCAATCACTGATACATTTTCTTATAGTTTTTCACCCATTGATGAATCTCAAAGAATAACAAAACGTCAAATTTTATCTTCAGTTGCAAAAATTTTTGATCCAGCTGGATGGCTTGCACCCATCGTCATCAGAGCAAAAATGCTGATGCAGCGGCTGTGTGTAGAAGGCTTGGAATGGGATGAAGATGTTTCATCTGAATCTCTTCAAAAGTGGAATAATCTAGTTCGAGATTTATCTCATATAGAAACAATTTCCATTCCACGCTGGTTACAGCATATTGCGCTACATTGTTTATTCAACGTAAAACGAACACTTATAACACTTTCGTAAATTTACTTGTAGCAAAAAGTAAAGTGGCACCAATTCAAACTGTTTGTCTTCCAAGACTAGAACTAAATGGTGCAGTTTTGCTATCAAAATTGGTAAATTACGTAATTTCTTCATTAAATGTTAATACTAAAGAAACCTTTCTTTGGACTGATTCATCCATTGTGTTAGGTTGGCTCTCTAAACACCCATCTACGTAGGAAACATATGTTGCAAATCGTATTGCAGAAATTCATCGTTTAACGCCAAACGCCATATGGAAACATGTCCCCAGCAGACTTGTGAACTCGAGGTTGTAAACCTCAAGACCTTGTTCAAAATTCCCTTTGGTGGAATGGACCATCGTGGCTAACTAAACCATTGTCTGAGTGGACTAACAGAAATCCTCTAAAAACCCCTGAATGTCTAAAAAAAATAGTATCAATGCATTCAGAAACCCTACAAACAGATATTCTCGAAAGATTTTCATCGTATAGCAAAGCCTTACGCGTTATCTGCTATGTTTATCGATTTATTAACAAGTGTAAAAAAGTTAATTCCACTACTCAAATCTCTTTAACTTAAGATGAAATGAAATTTTCAAAAAATAAACTCATAATGGTCGCTCAAAAAACATTCAACTTCGAAGAATACGAATGTTGCTTAAAATCTCAAACTTTACCTAATAAAAGTTCGCTAAAATCCCTTAATCCATTTATAGACTCAATTTTACGAGTAAATGGAAGATTATCCCGGTAATTCACATTTTTGTAAACTTTATCTCAAGCATTTACTCGAATTCTTATCTCATGCCGAATGTGGTCAAATGTGCCGAACAAAAATCTACGTTTGTCAAAGGGTACGTCAGCGTATTCGTTTGCTTTAGTACCAAAGCTGTTCACATAGAAGTATGCTCTGATCTGCTTTCAGCGGCATTTCAAGCCGCTTTTGCTCGTTTCGTTGGGAGGCGAGGACTACCCCAAAGGGTAGTATCTGATAACGGTAGAAACTTTCTAGGGGCTAGTAGAGAACTTTTACGAGAATTTTCCTCTTTTATAAAAAATGCATCTCAAGATGTAGCTCAAAAGTATTTGACACACGGCTTTGAGTGGAAATTTATTCCCCCACACGCTCCGCACATGGGCGGCTTTCATTTAAAACGAATTACTGGTGCTCAAAAATTCACATTTGAAGAATTCTCAACAATTCTAACCCGAATTGAAGGCGTACTAAACTCACGCCCAATCTCAGCTCTATCTGAAGACCCTTCAGATCTTACTGCTCTAACCCCAGGACATTTCCTAAGAGGAGCACCGATAATGGCTCTCCCAGAACAAAATTATCAAAATATATCTCTTATTAATAGGTGGGAAAAATTAAAAGCTTTGCATCATCAATTCTCAATGCGCTGGAAAAATGATTATCTTAAAACTTTACACAAACGCTAAAATGGAAAAACTCTACTACCAATCTTAAAATCGGAGATCTCGTCGTTGTAATGGACGATCTTCAGCCGCCTTACGAATGGCGTCTAGGAAGAATCGAAAAAACTTATTTTGGTTCAGATAATAATGTACGCGTAGCCGACGTTCGCATAAGCTCAGGTGTTATTACTCGACCGATCGCCAAATTATGTTACCTACCATTTTTAAGTGAAAATCATGATTAGAATTTTAACTTCGATGAAAATTCTAATCCAATATAAATAATATCATTAATCTCCTTTAGCAATCCCTTTTTATATATTTTAATTACTCTAACACCTTTCACACTAATCTCTCATTTAACACTTCTCATTTTTACACTTTCACACTTAACAATCCCAGCATTAATCCACCTTCATTTGTTTTGTCAGTTACTTACGCTTTGTTTATTTCCCCACCTAGAACCAACCGAAGACTCACCGCAACCCGGCCAAGAGACGAACCCAGCCAAGACGAATACCGTAGCCATGCTACCAATCGGCCAAGCGAACGTAGCAGCCAAAGCCGCAGCAATCACCGCAGGTCTGCTTCCCGACGTCCAAGCGAAAGTCGCAACCGACAAGACCACCGAAACCGCACCAATCATCATCAAAACAGAATGGATCCTGACTTACACCAGTGTATGCTCTGTATGAGGTTCCATGCCATACGTTTTTGTCCGAAATTCCTTAGCATGACCGTCATCCGGAGCATTGAAGTGGTCACGAGACACCGCTATTGCGTGAACTGTTTGGCTAAAAGCCACGTAGTGCGGTCTTGCACCTCTATGGCAAGCTGCCGAAGATGCCACAGGTTCCATCACACGATGTTACATCCACCAAACATTCGTGTCACCGTCGGCAGCCAAACCACACAACGACGTCATCCTTGGCCCAAGCCGCAAAGACAAACCCAGTCCTCAACCATTCAAAGTCCTCAGCTGAACCAGGTCCAAACTATCACACCACACACACCAACTACCCAAACTATCATTCAACATCCAGCACCAGCCCAGTCCGCCACGTTCACAGCACCCAATCAACAAATCATTCTAGAGGCCATTAAATCATTGGCTAATGTCAGCCAGCACTAACGGGCCATCTGTTGCCTAAAGCCAAGGCCGGCGGCATGTCTAATCTTGGACACAATTTTTTTCTTTTATTTTTATTTAGAAAAGAATTAATTTTATTTAATATTGAATTTTTTTTAATTTTGTTATTATCTACAAATTAAGGTACTTTAAATTATATGAATTATCTTGAACTGAATTACCTTATATTGTAAATTTACTATTGTCTAAAATTAACTAATACTCGATATTTAAAGGAACTGTCAAATTGTTGTAATAATTTGCTGAATTGCCATTTTTGTATAAATCTTAAGCTTCCTTTATTGTAATCTCGAAATAAAACGGTCACTTGTAATTCATCAGTCGTTGTGAAAACATTCAAATTACTCTCCCGCTCTTTAATATTTACTCTTATTCAGTGCAGTGAACCAAATATAAAATATATATATAAAAAACAAGTTAGAGTGCTATATTCGGCTCTGCCGAATCTTAAATACCCTCCACCTTAAACTGGTTTCATAAATTATTAAATTTTATGGATTGATTCAAATTTATTTTAGACTTACTTTCATTACGCCTTACAATATTCAATTAAAAACAAAACTACCACTTAACAGACTGTTACAGAGCATACTAAATTTAACCTATATTCTGTATTTAAAATAATTTCTATGTGTGAGAGAAATGTATGGTAATAGTTATAAAACTTATATAATGTTGTACGGGAGGTACAATAGATTTTCAACGTTGTTGATCCTATGAAAAAATAAAATAGCTTTTAAATTTTTATTGTTGAACCGAATTTCGACACTTAATTTGATTTAAAAAAAATTAATCATTTATGACAAAAAAGGACAAATCGACCAGGAATCGAACTTGCAATGCTCAGTTTGTTAATTCTCCCTTCCATCCACTGCACTTCACACCATTCCACTATTTTTTCCTTCGCTAACTAATATTTTTAATATTAGTTATGTTATTTTCTGTTTGTACAAAACATTGCTGCTGAATAACTTTTATCAACACTGATGTTGGACTGTTGGACAGTTTTTATTTAATTTTTTGCGAAAAATAATCAATTTTTTAATCCCTATGGGTGGTACAAGAAATTGTGGACTGATTTCGATTTTCAACTCAGTGGATTCCCAAACTATATGTATGACAAAATTCAAAACTAAATATTTGTGCCAAATTTTTTATGGATATCATTATTTGGTAATTAGTAATATCCGTTAAATGGGAGCATTGACCAATTATTGATCGACCGTAAAAAAAATTATAATAAGATTTCTGTAGATTAAAGCAATATTTGTGCCAATTTTCTATGGATATCTTTATTTTGCAAAGAGTTTTATGCGTTTAAGTGATTATCGAAAGGAGACCTTGTATGGGAGCTACGACCTATTACGGACCGATCGTAAACAAATTTTACAGTATCATTTCTGTATATAAAAGCAATGTTTGTGCTACATTTTGTATGGATACCTTTATTTAGTAATGAGAAATATGTGTTTAAGTGATTTTGAGAAGGAGACATTGTATGGAAGCTATGACCAATTGTGGACCGATCGTGAAAAAATGTACAGTAGGATTTCTGAAGATAAAAGCAATAGTTGTGCCAAAGTTTGTATGAATATCGTTATTTGATAATGAGTTATTTG